GAGAGGACTTCGATTTTTGAGCTTCTCTCGACAAAATCCATTGGAATGAAAGTGAAAAAAATGGAAACTCCCAAGGAATTTTTTTCACTGCTCGTTTCTTTCATAAGTGCATGAAACTCGCAATCATAATTTTCAACAATCCTGTTGGTATATAATGTGTTACGCGTTTTCAGACCATAAGATCGTATTAAAGCTGACATCTTACATTTTTGTTTAGGCGAATGCCACTGATTACGAGTACTCATCGGCGAATCGGCTGTGGATATCCGACAAGAGGAAAGTCCGCGATTGTATCTTGGACTTCGTCGGCGATCAGCTGGAAAAAACCGATTTCCATACTAATCCAGTTGCCGTTCGTAATAACATCAACGAGTGGGTCAGCAACATGACGAAAGGACACATCAAGGACCTTCTACCTCCGAACAGCATTGGCGAAGACACGGATTTGGTGCTGGCGAACGCAGTATACTTCAAGGGGCTCTGGCAGAGTCAATTCGAACCAGCCAATTCGAAGAAGGATCTGTTCTATAGTTCCGGATCGCAAAATTCCATGGTCACGTTCATGCACCAGAAGGGGACCTTTAACCATCGTAAGTTATTTAATCGAACGTAGTGGCTGCAATAATCTAATATTAAATAGATTTATCATTGTAAACGTTGTTCATTTTAATAACATACGCTTCAACTAAAATCGTTTACTTCTTCGATGGAATAAGCTGATAGAGAAAGATGAAATTGTGCAAACGCTTACATAGGTGAATTCGTGTATTGTGTTTCTTTATTTGCATAAATTATATATGCACGCACGAAAAAGAAACAGATCTATTGTATTTCTACAATTACGAAAGTAAGCGAAAATTTTGTACGAAAATGGAGATGTAGTTGTCTGAAAGCGTATTCTTGAACCATTTGCAGTTTAACAAATTTTATATACACATGATTTCTAAGTTCAAAATGTTTTCTCTGTATGCTTCACGGAAGTTGAAAATATTTGTCTCTAGCAAGATTTGTAATTTAACTTTCGTTTGTTGAATCAAGTGAATTTGCTGGGAGTAAGTCATGTATTTCTAACTAGATTATTTATTGCATACGTTTTCTACTCTTTGGTCTTTCTCCTCTTTTCTTTCCTTTTCTTCTCTTTTATAACCTTCCACGTCATTCTGTAATCTTTTCAACTCTTTCCCAAATTGACTTGGCTTACATTTTAACTTATTTCTTAACCAGTCCTCGCGCCACTCATTCATGCCATCATCTTTCCACACATCTTATCCTGCTCCAAGCTAATCTATCCTAATTTATTCTACCTAGTTTCTATAACTACAGTAATGTCTCTCCAATTGACGCTCAGATTGTCCACAAAAATGGTCAATTTGAGAAGAGGAGTTACGATTATTCGAGCCTTGCAGCTCGTTTTTATAGTTGTTGATAACTCGTGACTATAAAAATGAACCGCAAGGATCGTATAATCTACTTAAATTGTCCATTTTTGTATAGAATCCGAGCGTCAATTAGAGAGACATTACTGTACCTCTTGTACTCTAAAAAAAAATGTTCCTCCCTTCAGATATACCGACGAACCTAACACGATGAAATGAACTTTCTATTGCAGTGATCTCGGAGCTTCTCGGCGCGCACATCCTGGAGCTTCCTTACAAAGGCGACCGGATCTCCATGTTCGTGATGCTGCCGCCTTTCGTGCAAGCCAGAGCGTCCGGCACCGATCGCGACGGCATACGAGTCCTGATCGATCATCTCTCTACCGACGAAGGATCCGCGGAGCTCCGCGACATCCTGGACTACGGTGTTCCTCCTCGAGACGTCGAGGTCCTCTTGCCCCGGTTCGAGGTCGACAAAGAGCTCCCGCTGGGAACTCTGCTGCATTCGTTGGGCGCGGGCGAGTTGATGGCGCCGAATTCGGCCGATTTGCGGGGCTTCGTCGAGGACGGCGAGAAACCGCTGCACCTCGGCGACGCTGTGCACCGTGCGCGCATCGAAGTCACCGAGGAAGGCACCACTGCAGCGGCTGCGACCGCCCTCTTCACGTTCCGCTCGGGCAGGCCGCTGCAACCGGCCGTCTTCAACGCGAACCACCCCTTCGTCTACTTCATCTACGACAGGCAAGCGAAGGACATCCTGTTCTGCGGCGTCTACCGGACGCCCAGTCCGGCGAAGAACACCGCGTAGACGTCCGCTCGAGGACTATTCTCTTCAGGACTGGTCCTTAATTCTCTTCCTTGTTCTGCTCGGAGCGAGAGCACCAAGGACATCCGTGCGAACGTATTTAAGTGACTACTCTTAGTTAGTTGTCCGTAGAAACTAGCTGCACCTAGTTTCCCGTTAAAACGATAGCACGCTGCGTTGGGGTAAGTTTACTTTGGAACTGCAATAAACGATAATTCCGTCGACGAGAGCATCTCGCGATTCTCTCCAGAAATTCAACGCCGAGGAACCTTGAACGACTGAAATTCGAATATTACAAGCGCAACTCCATTGTAAACGAATTAAGGGAAAGACATACGTCGCAGCTTTTACTGCCGCCACGATCGACGCTGTCGCAGCTTTTATCGCAGCTCTAATATAAACGCGCCCTAATCGTGTTCCGTTGTCGAGACTACGGGCCACGTTTGTTCTAAGCGTGTCAAGGAGCAAGGATAACAAATTTGGACAGTTCGATTCGATTGAATTCTTGAAGATGCGTGCGAAGCGATCGAGCCTCGCGATTCGATGAATTTACGCGCTTTTGCAGGCTTGCGAGCCATGATACGCTTGTATCTGGAAAACGAACAATTTTGGAAAGGACCAGAAAAATGTATACGTTGTTCGTGTTTGGTTAAAAAGCATTGTTGTAATTTATTTTAAGAAAACTGAGACCAATTTACCGTTTTTCCTTTTTTTTTAAGTATCGTAGTTTTACGCGACATATGTAAAACTATTATTATTTCTTAGTGTTTGTACTACCGTTTTGTGTGCGTGAATGAGCATTAAGGTTTTCCGAGCTAACGCGTTTCTTTCTTATCTTCTACTCATTTTTCAATGTATGATTTTGAATCGATCAAAACGATTGAAGAATTTCGAACACGCACGAGCGTTAGGGAGCCAGTTTTACTTTTGTTACCGAAGACTTATTTATTGATCACGAACAAATTAAACATGACTGTATCGTGAGCATTGAAAACAAATAATTAAATGATGAATACAAAGAACCAAAGGAGCATTATACTTTACACCGTTGGGCTTTTATAAAATACAAATGACTTTTATAAATTTGAAATAAACGATGTAACGATGCCAGTGATATATTAGCAAGCTTTTAAAGAATTTTAATACAAAGAGCATGTATTTTACGTTATCGAAAGTGATTTCTGAATTATCCAGGCAATCCAAAATGTTCCAAAATGTTCTATTAAATTTTGATAAGACTATGTTTTCAATTATATCATTTATATATTTCACTGAGATCTTTATTGTTGCATATACGAATTCAAAGACAATTGAAACAATACCTAGACTAAGCATATACGTACTTTGCAATTATTAGTGCAGGAATGTCTACAATAGCAATCACTGATGTATCTGATTAGTCAGCTAATGGCAATGAACTCACTAATGATGGGATTTGGGACCATTTTTACCATCCCTTTCAAACATGTAATCTAATGTTAAGTTCTTATCATTTAGCAGTCAATCTAAATTGTTATCAATTTTGATTTACGGAGCAACATATTCCAAAATATTTGTTTAAATGAAAATCAAATGCCGTACAAAATTAATGAAAATTGAAGGTGAATTATTCTAGCGCGTACCAGTGTAAATATTGGATCAGTAGTCGATCTTAAATAGAAAAAGAGGGAGTATGAAACTTATGGAAGAGGGGGGGGGGGCTACGTCACGTCGCAGCGTTGACGCAAACGTATTGATGGGACGCGCGTCTCATTGTTGTCACCCGCCGCTCCGGAACGTGGTTCTTTCTTATCTTTCGTATCTTTATTTCAGTCTTGCAACCATGGAATTTGCACTTTGTTTACAATTTCCTTATCTTGCACATGGCTATCTTGTGTCACGCATTGTTTCTTTATTCTCTCTCTCTCTCTCTCTCTCTCTCTCTCTCTCTTTCTCTCTCTTTCTCTCTCACTCTTTTTCAGTCTCACCAGTGAGAACTTAAAGTCTAAAACCTATTAAATTATATTCTATTATAATTAAAATACACGTATTTTTCATGAAGGAGTTGCGTTTATTGCTGTCCTCAATTATTTCTCCAGGCGGCTTAACAAATATAAATAACAAATATAAACAGGTATAATTATAAACCGCGTTATCTCAGAAAGCCACGTTCAATTGTAGGTTGTTTAACATTCACAACTATGCAGTTAACGATATTTATGACTCTTCTAACTTTAATTCATACTTTTTCCAAAACATTTTTGTAATAATACTTGGTACGGATCCATTAGCTTATTCCTAGCGTAATGGCAATTTATTTCACTTAACTGCCGGAAATTGAGAAATTAGGTGACGATATAAATGAGTCGATCAGACTCATTGTGTGAGAGTCAATAAGATAGTTCGATAAGAAGATAGAAGTTCGATAAGAGAAGACTGAAGTATCTGAATGGACGTAAGCAGTTCCACTTATACAATCATGACCAGCGATCATTATTCACCGATACGATATCAATTAAATCAGCATTCATCACGATCTTCAGGCTACAATCATATCTCTCACATTGTCCCACGACTTGAGAACGAAAATGAACAACTTCGGGAGAGGAGATACGATTATTATAGCCGCGAGGCTTTTTCGTTCCCAAGCTGAGGGACAATATAAGAGTAATTACAGTAAATTTACCGGATTTTTCTTTCAACTTAAAAACAAAAATGGACAATTCGGGAAGAGGAGACACGATTATTCGAGCCTCGCTTCTCATTTTTACAGTTGCCGATTATCAACAATTATAAAAAACGAGCAACAAGGTTCGATTAATCTAAACCTCCTCTTCCCAAATTGTCCATTTTTGTTTAGAAGTTGAAGAAAAATTAGGGAGAATTTACTGTACTCGGTTCACACTAACTATAAAACTCCCAGTAATACAAACGATTCAAGAATGACTGACATCGATTTACCGATCGTCGATTTCCGTAATCACCCAGCATCTCTCATCTCTTTCAAGACAATGGATCCCTCTGAATAAATCTGCAACCAGCAGATCGGCAGGCAAGCTATTCAAGAACCGAACCGAGTGGAAATAAAATCGCTCGGTTCGTGGTACGTTCGGGCCTCTATCGGGCGCGCTAGATCGGCCGTGTATCGATCGACTAGGAGCGATCCAGGGGCCTCCAGCAAGTCGCGCCTCCATCGGCCGCGGTCTCAAGCAGTTCCGGGCCCCGACTCCCATTCACTGACAGTCTGACGTCACTGGAGGCAGCCGAGGTCCCGGTAAACGCGGAGGCGACCGTTAGCCGGTAGCGTCCGCAGAACCCGATCCTCCGGCATGGCAGAATCTGGCATCTCGTTGCGTCACGCGCCGATACAAGCGAACGGGTACACGGACGACGGCTGTGAACGGGTCCCCGTTGCTTGCACCCAACAGCACGGCGGATCATCCGAGTAGACTCGGCTCGAGTCGAGTCGAAGCGAGTCAAGTCGAGTCGAGTCGAGTCGAGACCTGTGTGTCTGGCAGTCCTTGACGCAGGCCTCGATCCCGGCGAAAGATGAGCAAACCCAAGATCCGTGAGAGATTCGTCGTGCTTCCTCGAACGAGCCGAGCCGAACCGAGCCGAGCCGGGACGAGCCTGGCCGGCCGGCTACGTCGACCAGTTTGATCGTTTCTCGAACGGTATTGCGCTCACCGCGGAATCTTCCTCGATCGATCTCTATACCGGAGGCCTGCTTGCCTGCCATGTTTCCTTTTCGTCCTTTCGTCGACAGCCCCGCAGCCGGCGAGCCGCGAACACGCGAGTTTTCACGCTGTCGAGGAAGCCGCCGTGCGAAGGTCATCGCCGGCGATCGATCGATCGATCGTTCGATCGATCGCGTTTCCGCCTGGCCTACGACCCACGATCCTGTCGAACAGATCGATAAACGAGCCGCGAGCCGTCCCCCTCCCCGCCGTCATCCCCCGTTCACCCCCCCGTCAATCGAAAACGCAATCACGTTGACGCGGAAGTTCGTGCGTTTGTTGTACGCGCCTTCTTCTAGGCTGAGATTTCGTGCGTTAGGCGCATCGGTTGGTTGGCGATGGTTCACGCTGTGCCGCGGCGTTATCGCCATCGTTCTGGGATGCCTGGAACACGGCAAATAAGAATTTTGTCTGATTCTATTGTTTAATTATACGTAAGCAAGCACTGCTTCGCCCGGTCAGAGCCGGCCTCGGCCCTGTTGCTCAATTATATTGTAGACATTAGATGTTTAATTATACATATGGGTGGATCGACGCGTTCTCCGTGTATATTCGCGACAGAATTATGTATGTAGACTTAACAACGAATTTTCGGGTTATTTTCGCTAACTGACGCGAAGATTGTGCACAAAAATGGACAATTTGGGAAGAGGAGATGCGATTATTCGAGCCTTGCATAATCTTGACATAATCTTGACAATTCGTAACTATACAAACGAACCGCAAGGCTCGAATAATCATATCTCCTGTTCCCAAATTCTCCGTTTTTGTGGACAATCCGAGCGTCGATTAGAGTGACAATACTGTATGTTTAATACGTGAAATTCTGTTAAGATCTGTAACACATGCGAGAACGCGTTGGATTTTTGAGATTGCCGAGATGACACGCACCGTGTAGACATTAGTAATTAGAGAATATCGCAGATGTACTTGATTCGGATCGTGAATTTTCGTGCAACTTTTACGTTTGTTAAGTGCGTTTTGCTTTCACAAAGAATAAGCTACATTTCTACCGCGCTCGATGCATTCAATTTGAATATTGCGTATTCATGCTCTTAAACATTAAGATTATTCTAATATCTAACATATGCTATTGTTTCTTCGGTGTGATCCAATTTTTATTTTATAACTATCATGCTACACGTTTAACACGTTTAACACAATTCTAATGAAACGTCCATTCGATTGCAGCCTGGTAGAATTATACTAATGTGAAAGAAGTGATAAAATTCCAGTCGATGAAGGCGTTGTAATTACTAGACTTGTAACAATAATATGTAAATGAGTACGTAGAGCAGTAAAAGCATGAAAATAATTCACAAATACTATTGTATATTCTCGAGTTATTAACATGATCAACGAAAGAAACAGATGTCTTTGAATATCTAACAAAAAAATTAGCTTCTGCATTCTGAGAATAATGCAGACAATTGTTTACTTTACAGAAAAATTTACAGCCCAGCGTTCGCTTCGAAGCTACGAGCAGAATCTTTAGGCTCCGCGTCGTAATTTTATTCCGCCAGCGGTAGGATTAATTTGTTAATGTCATATCATTGCTTTTGAGCATGCATCCCTGCATAGTTTATGTTCGTTGCAGTAACAAATTACTCGTTAGACATGGTATATGGCAACAGCGCGGCACATTCTGTCCCCGTTGTCCTTGCGTCACGGAAATTGCATTTTCTCGGTAGAACAAACCTAATGACGCTCCTGAGGTCCTCTTTCCTCGTCTCATTATACTCGTGTATTAATGATCCGCTAAATTTAATTGATGAGGGAATAGGATCCTGCCGCAGTGTCTAGAATCGCCATTCTCCTAATCGTGGACAAAAGATTAATGGGATGCATTAAGAAATAGTCCAATCCTTATAACTCCGCGGACATTGTTGCAAGACTCTATTCCCACATTAGCGAAATTTAATAGATCATTTATATCAGAGTTCTAATTAGACGATGGAAGAGGACATTAGGTTTGTTAAAAGTTGGGATTTAATGAAACGCATTCGTGATTATTAGACAGCGGGACTTTTTGCGAAAAATAAAAACGTTCCAAGTCAATTTCAAGAAACCGAGATGAAATAAAAATGTATTTTCTCTGTTGACAATTTGAATCAGTCGGAAATAGTGCAACAATGTTCTTAAATGTTTTCTAGTGTATATCCTTGCGTACTGGTTTAAAATAAAGCAACATGATATAGCACAACTACAAACTTTTTCTTCTTCAGTTAGCTCCAAGTCTTTGTGGATCAGCAAATTTGTAATATTGCGCATATTTCGATAATATTATTTTACCAATTTATTGACTTCAAGAGCACACAATTTTGATGCGCAACACAGTTATCAACAGTTTCGATCGCCTGCCATTTCTCATTCATCATTGAACCATTTAATATATCGCTTCTTTTGCATCATTCAATTATACCATTTTATTAAAAAAAAATCCTATATTCCAGTATAGAAATATTTTGAAACTTTCAAGAATCGGTCACGGCTGTTCTCGCAACGAACGTGCATAGATCCGTCAAAATACAGTATATATTCTCCTTAATCGACAACTCAGATTGTACACAAAAATGGACAATTTTGGAAGTTACAGTTATCGATTCTCAACGACTTTAAAAACGAGTCGCAAGGCTCGGATAATCCTATCTCCTCTTCCCAAATCGTTCAAAATTGTCAAAAATAAAAATCGATACTCGATAGTCCACGGGTTCCGAAACATAGCGTCCGCATAGCGTGCTATCGGCGAGGCCCGCGAATTCTGGGCCTGGTAATGTATCGCGATCTCGCGTCCAGATCGAGGGCTCCTAGGAAAAAAGGCGGCCGCGCGCAACGATCGCCGGATAAAATTCTAACGGAGCCTCGGCGCTGATCGGGCAACCTTGACAGTCTCGGTAAACGTGGAAACATTGTTAAGGTTTCTCTCGATACTTTCACTTTCCTTCCTCCTTTTTCGCGGCAAGTGCACGGGGCCGTTGCAAAGGATCGGCGGACACGTGCTTCCACGCTTAGACGGTCTAACGGTAAACCCCGGCGGATTTCGTTTCCATCGGCTCGAAATCGGCTCGAGCCTCGACCGTTATTGACCCTTCTTTTCGCTCGCCTCTCCTACGGTCTACAGGGTGTTCTCCGGACGTGGCTCCGTTGCACCGGCGACGAGGAGACGCACAACCCGCACGAATCCTGGGATTACGCAAGCTGCCGATAAAATTCTGTTCGTTTGTTTACCGTTCATTAAGCTCCGGCGTATCATTGACAGGACGCCGCTGTTGACTCATCGCTTGGGAAGGGAGCGAAGGGGTTACCGTCCGTTTCTTAATTGCG